TATAGACACTCCAGCTTTCTTTTGATTAGTATTGACATGGCATACATTGTTCATCTTTTTACTTTTAACCTGCTTGTGTCATTATATTTAAAGTTTGCTTCTTGTAGATAGCATAGATTTGGTTCTTGCTCTTTTATTCAATCTGACCATCTCTGCATTTAAATCATGGGTTAAATTTGCCACTTTGGTATTTGGATTTCGTTTTTGCTTCTTCTCTTTTGTTCACCCTTTCCCTCTTTTTCTGACTTTTTTTTGGATTGCATTTTTTTAATGAGTTATTTTTATTTCCTCTTTGGTTTATTAGCTATTCCTCTTTTGTTTTTTTGTGGGGTGTGTGTGTGTGTGCATGCTCGCATGTGCATGCGCTTGCTATAAGGTTCATAGTGCATTTCTAATAGCATATCACAATTTACCTTCAAGTATGTTTATTCTCTTTGGATAAATTCTGAGAAATGGTTTTCAAAAGCTTATTGATTTTAAAAATATATCTCTTTTTTTCAGATACCTATATAATTACATTATTAATTTCAAGTTGTTATCCAGTTGGTTTGTTGGGTGGTCTAGCCTTCAATCACATTATCTGTGAATCATGATGGATTTGTCTTTACAGTTTCATAGTTATATACTTCTGGCTTTTGTTTCATGTCTTGTTGAACAAAAGATTTCTAGAACCACAAAAAATATTCTTATTTTATTTTTAACTTCAACAGAAATAATACTGCTAGTTAACTAACATGTATTGAGCAGTTATTATGTGTCAGGCATTGTTATCAGTGCTCTACCTGTATGATCTTTATTTCATTGTCTCTGTAAGGTAGATACTAATTATCTCTATTTTGCAATGAGGAATCTGTGGCCGAGAGGATAAATAATTTACCTAAGACAGGAAGCTGTGGAGCTGGGATGTGAACTGTGACTCTAGAATCCATTGGTGTTTACCTCTAGGCAGTTGTGCTGCCATGTGTTTAACATCCAGCTCTCTGAAACCAAGTCCTGGTTTGTCACATTTGCCAATTTTTTGTGGTGTAAATACTCCCACCATAGCTGACGTGGCATCACTTTAAGCACGGATTTGGGGAGAGATCTCACAATTTTTCTTGGGATTTGGACCTCTTGCCAGTTCCAGTGCAAAAAGCCTTTAGTTTTATACCAGAAGGTAAGGGGGTGGTGTTCTTCAAATAGCTATTAGTTGAAATTCTTTGGTTTTAAGAAACTGAATCAGTTAGAGCTGGCCCAAGCAGAGGTGGAATTTACTATAAGGTTATAGTATCAGAATGAAAGGCAGGAGGGTTTTAGGGTGGGGGAGCGAGGAACAAATATTCTGGGGGCCTCAATGGGTCTCTGGTCTCACTTCTCTGTTACTGTAAGGCAGTGTTCTTGCATCTCTGGCCTACAGGCAGAACAGTACTATCCATTGCTCCTGAATGTTCTCATAGTGGTTCCTGTCACTAGCAGACAGTGAGGCCTTCTTTGACTGGCTCAGTTAGGTCAAGAGTCAGGTCTAGGTCAGTCAGCTATGGACATGTGACTTCAGTAGGTCTGTTTGCCTCTGTTCATGATCAAATTGAAGATGTCAGTCTAGACTAGTACAAGCCTCTTCTGTCTTTGAAATTCTGTTACACTTAACACCTCTCTTTGTACTGTGGTCCTCCGAGCTCCTCACCATTTGGGTCCTGATGATTGTGCTGATGTATGTTATCCCTGTCAGTTTCCCCTTTCCTCACCGGGCCTTCTTGTTGGCCCTTGAATATTATGAGCTCATCTCATCTTAGGGCTCTTGTACTTGCTCTTCCAATGCCTGGAAAACATTTTCTATGGGTCTTCTGGTGGTTCACATCCTCCCTTCATTCAAATCTCTTCCTCAGAGACTCCCCTCCCTAAGCATCCTGTCTGAAACAGTCCATACCACCCGTCCTCTCACCTGCTTTATTTTTCTTCATCACGTTTGATATTACCGTATCTGAAATTGTAGCATGTATTCGACTCTCTGCTCATGGTCTCCCCACTGGAATGTAACCTATTGGTATAGGGACTTTGTCTGGTTTATTGCTGTATTTTCAGCATCATGTCGTAGATACTTAAATCTTTTTGTTGAATGCATGACTAAATAAATGAACAAATGAGTTGCAGAGTCATTTTGAAGCATACATTTTAAAATAAACCTCAGCCCTGGCCAGTCTGGCTAAGTTGTTTGAGCGTTGTCCTGTGCACCCAAAGGTTGCCTGTTGATTCCTGATCAGAGCACATACCCAGGTTGTGAGTTCAATCCCTGATAGGAGTGTGTGAGGGAGGCAACCAACAAATGTTTCTCTTTTACAAAGATGTTTCTCTCTCCCTTTCTCTCTCTCAAAATTAATAGACATATTTAAAAAAGTAAATCTCAACTATTAACTCTTTCAAATGTGCTTTGCTTATTCTGTGCTGAAATAAAAATAGTATTTTTTTAAAAATGAGATGTAATTCAGATTTTTAATGGTCTGACCTTCCCCAATTTACCTATTAACACACTTTCTCCAAAGCTTTTCCTGTAAGTATTCTAAATAAGTGAGGTTTTGCAGCAATATGTGGAAATGGGCTTTTGTTGTTCATTTGAGGCAGGAAATATTTGATAAAATGACTTGATGATTACATGCTTTCCTGGTAAGAAAGGGAGTTTTGTTTTCTGTGTTTGAAGGTTTGGTGTAAGCAGAAAACACTATCTATTTGTTTATAAGACTTCCACAGATGACTCCTACAAGAGTTCTCTTTAGTTAAATGCAGGTATAGTAATAGAATTATCATCAAAATAGACAAAGACAAATGGCTGTCTGCCTGAAAAAAAGAAAAAACAATTGAGAAAAAAACATTTCCAAAAGTGTGCCAAAAAAGACTTTCTTTTGAAAAATGCAGAGGTAGAAGGAAAATATTATTTTCACAAGAGAAGCATGCATTTGGCCATTGACAAGCCATTTTCCTTTCCAAAGCTGGGGAAATTTTCAGTTGAAGAAGATTGACAACGTTGTCTCTGGGCTGAAATTTATAGTTTTCCCCATTATGATTGATTTTCTTTTGCAGCTAACACACTCTGATAGAGTTTTGAAAAAATGTTTGAGCTATGGCATCATCACTATGGTACATACGTGTCTAGCTTCTGTATCCCAAGGCAATGTCTAATTCATGCCATCCATTTAGATGTATACATTTCATGAGCTTCTGAAGAAATTTTTTTTTCTTTACTGTATAACCAGCCTTGTACATTTCAGACTTGTGGGAAATGATGGAAATGAGAGGGAGCCCTGCGCAGCTGGAGGGAAACAAGTGCCTCTCTAATTAACTGGTTAGCTCAACACATAAGCTAATGAATTCAACAAACATTTAATAATTAGTGCCAGATGTTGTGCTAGGAAGTGGGAATGCCACCTGGAGGAGACATGGTCCATGCCCTCATGGAGCTCACAATCCAGTGCGTTCTAGAAGGAGCTGTCATTCCAAATTCAAGTCTCAGATCAGCATGATGAAGATATTCTTAAGCTCTGCTATCTTCCACACTGGGAGCTGACTGCCTCACTTTGTTGTAAATCTTCCAGATAAACCATAATATTAATTATGAATAGGTTGGACTCATTTTTTTTTTCTCTCAAGGATTTTACTTTTTCAAGAAGGCTGACTGGTCAAACCATTATGTATTCTTTTGTAGGAAATGAGCTTTTTACAATCCACAGAAAAAGTAAAGAACTGGGAATAATAATACCTAGGGGTGATTTAGAGGCCTTTTGTCCTTGAAGGAAACATAAGGAAACATGATTGTTTATCCACTGACACAGCAGTCTTTCTTTTTCGGTTCTTTGTGACTGACATAAATGCACTGAACATCAAAGTCAGGGGTAATTTTCTCTATTTTTTTATTTTTTGAATGGGGGAGTCTCCTAAATAAGGCTTTCAAGTGTGTTTTTATTTTGCTTTAAGTTTTACTAATATCTTAGAAGCTTCTTGATCGCATAAAAGTACTTTTAGAGTATGCTAAAAGTAGAGATGAATTTTACCCCAAAGAAACTCTTAAAGCTACCTAAAAATCTAATTTTAATAAATGGAGTAACTTTTGTATTGAAGATTTCTATCATTCCTTTTAGTTTTAAAGAGTTCTAAGATCTACCTCATATTCGTAAGAGTTTTTCATTTAACTTTGAGCTTTAATTCACAACAACTTTTCACACTAAACATTATCCCACCTGTTTCCTGTAACCTCTCAGTTATAAGATCATAAACTGCTAACTCACAAGACTGTGACTTAGGGAGCTTAATCTCTAAGATAGCATCTTTAAAAACTCATTTTTATTTGTATCAAATCAACTTTTTCATCTCTTTGTTTTATAAGCTATAATTTGCTTTTTAAAAATATGGTGCAGGGGCAAGTGTCAGAAATGGACCCCAATGGACCCACGGTTTGGAATTCATGCCCTTTTTCATTGACTGTGATCTGGACAATGATTTGCTTCAACAAACAGAATGTAGGAGTGATGCAGAGTCAGTTCCATGATTACCCTTTAGAGGACTGGTAGGTTCTGCTTCCTCCTGTTGGAACATTTGTTTTTTGGGGCCCTGAGCTCCCCATTCACTACCTGGCTGGAGAGACCACTTGGAGAAACCATGTGAAGAAGCTCTGAGGCTATATGAAGAGGGAGTGAGGTCCAGCTGTCTCGGTGTCCTGGTCAAGCCCTTGCTGCTGGCTGACTTCAACTTCATGAAAGACTTCAAAAAAGACCAGCAGAAGAACCACTCAACTGAGCCCAGCACCCACAAAAGAGTGAAACAACAAGTGGCTGTTGTTTATGCCCCTACATGTTGAGGCAGTTGGTTATGCAGCATCATTAACAAATTATGCCACCTCTGTTAATAATAAGACTTTAAATAAAAAGCAAGTAAACTGGTTCCCTCAGAATAACTCATATGCTAACTTGAAGAGTTTTAATAGGAAAGTAAGTCTTCAATGCACTGAGAATCTAGGTTAGTGAATAGCATTCTTATTCTCGATCAAAAAAATCATCAAAAGGTGGGATTCTCTCTGTCCTGGTCCTCACCAGGGCTCGTGGTTTCTTTGTGACTTTCCCCAACTCATCAGAGTCAGAGCTAGAGCTGTCCCACAGCAGCTGTCCCCGGGCCTCTTGTTCACGGAGCCAAGTTTCCATTTTGCCAATTTTCCGGGGACCATAGTCATTCCTTGAGTGATGCTCTAAAAATCCTGCATTCTGTGAATTTCCTACAAAAAATTAAAAGTTCATTTAATCCATTTCCCCTCTGACAATGGTGTGTTTGTTTAAGTTTTTGTATGAACACAGAAAAATCTGTTTGGTATTTTTAAAATATATACACATATACTGGATTCCATCTTGGTAAAGATTCAAGATATCTCTCTTTTCCTTTTTTTTTTTTTTTTTAAATTAAATCTTTTGTGAGGCATAAGAATAGTACACCTGTATAAACCTGTATACTCCAACTCACCAACAACATTTGTCACTACATATGTACTTTTCAGTTGAACCATTTGAGAATTAGTTGTAGAGTCACTCCACGCCCCCACCAAGCTCATCACCACAAATCTCCTAAGAACAAGGGCAGGAAGGAGAAAAGAAAAAAGAAGAAAATCAAGGAGACCAAGAAGCCCTGACCAGATAGCTCTGTTAGTTAGAGCATTGCCCTGATATGCCAAGGTGATGCTCTAACTAACTGAGCTATCTGTTAGTTAGCTCAGTTAGTTAGAGCATAACTAACTGAGCTATGCTCTAACTAACTGAGAGCATAGCTCAGTTAGTTATGAGCTATGCTCTCAGTTAGTCAGTTAGGTTTGATCCCCGGTTAGGGCACATACAAGAATCAACCAATGAATGCAAAAGTAAGTGGTCAACAAATCAATGTTTCTCTCTCTCTCTCTCTCTCTCTCTCTCTCTCTCTCTCTCTCTCTCTCTCTCTCTCTTTCTCTCTTCTTCTCTCCCTCTCTCCTCCCTGCCCCCATCCTCTCTCTCTAAAACAACAACAACAACAACCCAATAAAACTAAACAATAAACAAGCCAAAAAGGAGACAGAGAAACAGAAAATAAAACGCAATGTATGATCCTGGTTTGGATCCTGGATCTAAAAAAGAAAGCACAGCCCTGACTGGTTTGGCTCAATAGAGAGAGTGTTGACCTGCGGACTCAAGGGTCCTAGGTTTGATTCCAGTCAAGGGCATGTACTTGGTGGTGGGCACATTCCTAGTAGGAGGTGAACAGGAGACAGCTGATTGGTTTTTCTCCTAAAAAAAACACAAACAAATAAAAAAATAAAAAAGAAAGCACAAACAGGGAAACAAAAAGTAGCCATAAAAGACATTATGGGGCTAACCATGGCTATTTACATACAGACCAAACATTTGAAAATAGTAGGTATCAATGTTAACATTTGTAAGTGTAATAACTGTATTGTGGTTATATAGGAAAGTTGCCCTGGTTCTTAGAAGAAAGCTTAAAGAAAAATACTAAGTAAATAATAGCACAGGTGTCCCAATAAGAGCAGAATTATGAAGGTGACAAATGATGTATTTAGGATGCCACTTCCCTGAGGTATATAGTTATTTTCACTATAAGATATCAGTTCCACCTTCAGTTTTATTCATATCCCCATACATTTACATGACACTTTACATTTTATATGTGCTTTTACACAGATTTATATTAATTTTTACATAAAACCTACTTGGTGACAATGTGGAAATAGAGGTTTGCAGAGGTTAAATGACTATAATTTAGCTGTAATCTCTCTGTCTATAGAATAATCTCATGTAGATAAACATATAGCTAATACTTATTGAGAGATACTATGTACCAGGCACCGTTCTAGGACCTAGAAAAGGTCCCTGCTCCCATTTATTACAGTTAATAAATGTCCTGGTGGGGCTCAAATGAAAAGCCTTGGTTCCAAGTCCATGGCTTTTTCTACCCACTAAATTATGGCTTCTGGAAAGGGCAAGAGCAACATAAACATCTTAAAACTCATAGAATTTTAAGCTCCAAAAAATGATGTTCACTTTGTGTAAGTTATGTATCATTTCATATATATACATAGATAGCATATATAATTTATTATATAAATGTATGTAAAGTGTGGGCGATTTCATTTTAAAGAAGCTGCAGGAAAGAAAAAGAAGAGACTTGAACTCTCCAATTCCAAAAGAGGGAACGGAATAGGCAAATATAGCATAAAATCAGAGGAGATGGGTACAGAGGAACCTTAACTACCAGAATCTAACTAGCAGGATCCTCTTATAAGCCTATGATCTTGGCTACACTGTACTGCTAGGAGAAAGCAAAGAGAATTGTTTTTAGAAGGCAGAAAAAGAAATCAAAGATGCTATTTGGGAATAAGTAAAAAGGAATCATTGATCCAGCATATGCTTACTGCCATAGTGAAATCTATAGGCTTTGCCGAAGGCAGCTTTCTCTTGAAAGATAAGGTTGAGGAGTCACAACCTTTATATTTGCAGACCCTCCCATGGTTGTCCTGGATGAAGCTCCAATGAGGCCCTACAAGGGGTGGGTGAGAGAGCACACTTGGGAGTCAGAAGCACTTGGCCTTGAATACTGGCTCCATTACATGGGGCTAATAGTAACTCCTATCGTATAGGTTATGTGAGGATTAAATGCAATAATGCATTTAAGAGCAGATCACAGTGCCTGACTTATAGTAAGCACTTAATAAACCTTTGCCAGAGCAAAATGAAGCAGCTCAGAAAAGCATGAGGAAAGCAGAAAACCCTGTCATCTTGTGTCACAGTCTGCCCTGATCCCCTCTAAATCTGGAGCATCTCCCAAGGCCTACACCTGTGTTGATTTTTCTTGGCTTGATTGCAAGCAATGAGTCTACATGTCTAACTGTAGCTCAGGCACTTTTCTTGGTTTGTTTTGCCAATATATATATTTTTAATTGTAAAAGTTGTTTTTCTATATGACTACACAGCATATTTTATTCTGGGACTCAGGAGTATAGGTTACATAGATGCCTCAAGTAGATTTTCGATGATTCAGCTTGTTCTTATTTCATTAACGTATTGATTAATCATCTTGTTCCTCTGAGCAGGAGCAGGATCTCTTTCAGCTGCCTGTTTTGCTCTTAGAAGCCCAAGACCACCAGAGGTGTGGCCAACATCTCTCTAGAGTTCTTAGTGGTCAGTCTTGCTGAGGTGGGGATTTGGCCCAAAGCAGGGCAATCTGAGAGTGTAGATAGCATTGTACATTTGCAATGGTGGGCTTGCCCTGGGGCAATACAGACAGGGCAAATGTTATGGGCTCTAATTGGTGGGGCAACATAGCACAGAGGTTATGTATGCAGATATCTGTTGGAAATCACAAAGCTATCAGGCTATGAGCAATCTGGCTTGACTGCGGTGTGGGACTGGGTATGAGAATGTCAGGAGATGAAGCCAGGGAGGGAGTTAGACTTTGTCCTTAGGCTGATGGAGACTCACTGAAGGATTTTTTTTTGAAAGACAGTGAATTGGTCAGATTTGCATTGTATAAGGTTACTCCACTCTGAGGGCAGTATTTCTAGAACATTATTATGCAGGGGAATCCCTATGGAATCTTGACGAAATGTGGGGCCTGATTCAGTAGGTCTGGGGTGTGCTGAAACTCCACATTCCTAATAAACTCCCAGATGATGCAGACCCTGCTAGACAATAGACCTGTGGTTCTTAAACTTTATGGGCATTTAATCTCCTCGGTAGAAGGTGTTAAACCCAGATTGCTGGGCCCATCCCTATAGTTTCTGATTCAGTCACTCTGGCTGAGGTCCTAATAAGTTCCCCATTGAGGCTGGTGCTAGAATACTGGGGACCACTGGTATGGAGACTGATGTGGGAGGGTGAGATCTGTGTGAGGAGTGTAGCAGGAGGCTGCAGCAATAGCCCTGGTATGACACGATGGCCTAAAAGTGACATGGGGAATGGAAGAAAGAAGGGAGATTTCAGCGCTAGGTGACCTCAATAGGACTTGGAGACTGACCAGTTGCAAGGAGAAGGAACAGAAGGCCCCAGGGCATGGAGTTCTCACTGAATGCATGGATGCAGTAGGAGCAGGTCTGGGTTCAGTTTTAGATATTCTGAGTGTGCTGTGGGGGAAGAGTGGGCTGGGGGCGAGAGTGTCTGCTTATGGCACCAAACTGGCTGATACCAATTTCCTCCACATGTTTTATTCTCTTCACCACAAGATAAGGCTCTTTGGTCTTTTTCCCTCCTAGAGATGGAGCGAGGATGCCAATCATGCAGACAAAGTATAGTAAACCTCTATAAAGAAAGAAGCATCTTACTACAGTGCTTAAACTTCTGCCTTTTCTTTCAGGCCATCCAAATTACATGATAACCTACCCACTATTTCAGGAAATAAATATTAGCAGGGACCTAAGTCTATTTACTGACCTTCTACCCTAACAAGTTCCCTACCCTTACCCCTGAAAGTTTACTTGGTGATGATTGAAGCATTTGGAATACTTTATTTTACTGAAAAAAATTGCATGACTCACCTGGACTTGGGTTTAAGGTTTCATCAGGGAACACGGTTAGAAAGTCACTGTCATCATCTCTGGGGATGCTGTCAAAGATTTTCTTGGCTGTGTTGTCCCTCGGTTTTTCCTTATTAATCCTCACCTCCCTGTGAAGACTTTTCTTCAACTCCACTTGGGCCTGAAAATGATCAGTTATAAATAGTTCAAGTCCTCCCACCCCCTTTCTCCACCCTCAGCTACTTTCACTAGAATAGGTCCATAGGTTGGCCACTTTGCAGTTGTGTAATCATCTGTGGGCATCTGTGCTCCCCAAATCAGAATAGGATTCTCTTTTTCCTATTATAAGGTACAGAGTTTTTCTGTATGGACAGGTCTGTTAGGAGAAGGGAGAGTATATCCACAGTCTCAAAAAGGTGAGGACTTCTGTTAAAGCATTTCTCTGACGGCTACTTGATATATTTGGAATAGCAGCGGACAGTGGTTTTATGCTTACTCACTGGAGTGAGAAGTTTGGGATATGACAACTAGAGGAGCCATACTGTACATGGCCTTGTAACAAGAGGTCTTTCTTGTAAGATCACTCCATGGCATACATTGCAGAGATGCTTCAGTTTCAAAATAAAGACCACTCACCAACCCTCCCCCCCCAAACAACCCCCTTTTTACTTTTACTAAACCAAGAAAAATTATCTAAACCCATTTTTTTCTGCAGTTAGAATGTCATAGAAGTAAGAGTTTAAAAAGAGAGACTTGAGACACAACTACATCATGTAAACAGAGGAAAGACTTAGTTGGTAGGATAAGGAATATTGCTGGTTCTTCCCAACTCCAGTAGTTGAATCTTTGGACCTAATGACTAGTTTTAAAAAGACTGAAGATGAACACCTAACTACCTCTATGTGCCAGGGCAGTTATCATGCTCAGTGAATTTGGTAAATGTGATATTTGTCTCATATTTACCTCTTGTCTTTTCCGGTTTATTTCTAGCATTTGCATCTTATGTAAATATTGTCTTTTCCCAGAAGTATACATTGGAATTTGCATCTTCTTTTCCAATTCCTGCTACAAAAGATGATACCTTCATTAGTGTGAGATAAGTAGTTAATGACTCTGCAATCTAAAATTGAAATTCTTTTTGGAACAGAACAAGATAAATCAACAACTATAATCCACAGAGATCTCTTGTGATATCAAAGACGGACCACTGCAGTTCCCTGGTAAGTCCTTTGTGAAGCTACCAGTGAATGGAGTGGCAGTTTGCAATGTAGTTCTTTAAGGTTCCTGTGGAGTGTTTCAGACCTTGAATGGACATACCTTTTCACATCTCATTTTGACAAGATATCACTTTCTCTATCAATAGATGCTTATTACTATCTCCCCAGAAATGTGTTCTGGTTTGATGAGACCAGCCTCTCTTCTCTTTCTTCCTGTCTGTCCTCCACTGACTACTTGTCTGGCTATGAAATTAGAGCCTATTTATACAGAGTGTTCCCCTATATACCAATATAAGCCCTGGTATACTGCAGTTTAGGAAGGACTTGAAGTTGATTATTTGTGACTTTGATGCCTTTCCAATAAATTCCAGTGGGACAGTGCAGACAGTCATTGAGGGCAATCAGGGGTGAATACACCCTCATTTACCACCAAATGCGTTCACTGATGTTTTATGGTGGCCAGTGGACAATGATTGTGTTCACTGATGTGAGCCTCAGGAAGAGGCCATCTCAAACATGGCCTTGAAGATCCAAAACTACCTGGACATCTTCTACCAAGTGAGCCAGCACACAGCAGTATCTAGCTGGTTCCAAAATGAATCAGGAGTAGAAAGTGTTAAAAATCTGCTTCTATCTCACATTTTACATTTCTGCACGAGGGGAAAACTCCTGACAAGTTTGTAAAAAGAAAGAACTCTACTGTAGGCCCTTTCCAGGGTGACTTTTTGGTGCATTGTCGTATGATTTATCCTGAAAACTGAGAACAAAGAGAAAGTTTTAGCTGAGCAGAAGAAATGAAAGGTAAGAGTTATGCTAGACTTTTCCACATAGAAGTATCTGAACACTTCTAGAATCACCAATTTCCAAGTACAATTTCTCTGTCTCTTCTTCTCCCTGTTCCACCAGGAATAGGAGAAGGGCCCCGGATTTACCCGAGAGACAAGAGCAGTTGCCAGCAGGAGGCAGGCCCAGGAGAAGATGGAGGGCTTTGTCAAGTTCTAATTCTGAATAACCTAAGAGTGTGATTTGCTTTGAAGTCCTCTGTGCAGGGAACACATGAAAAAGACAGCCCACCCCCCAATTATACCCACCCCCCTCCGAGTACCACTGCAGTTTACCTTTGCTTTGCGAGTTATCCTGGCTTCTCGCTGGCTCAAGATCCTTTCAGAAGTGATTACTTGTGGCAGGTCAATAGGTTCAAGCTTCTAGAAGCCCAACATTTAGAGCATTCAGCATTCCTCGAGTCATGAGATGATGAAACATAAAAGCCAGGCATTAAACTATCTTAACACGTTGCAAAAGCAGCACTTACTCTTGAGAGCACACAGTGAAGGCAATTTCAATGGGATTGCAGTGGTATCTGTGCAAAAGGCCTTTGGACCTCTCTTGATTCTATTGTGCTGTTGTCAGTGACTTTTTGATCTAAATAGTGGTCAGAGAGTTAAAAGGCTAAGAATCCTTTTCTAGCTGCATTGAGGGACCATGTCTAAAGTTATCAAACAATGAGGATCTTCGAGTATTAGAGATGAAAGAAGCTATTTTCTTCATCCATTAACAACTCAGCTGAACTCTTCTTGTTCTTGGGGAAGTGATGTATTTTTAACATCTTCAGAGAAGCTCCCTTATCCTTCTCAATAGTAATCAGTGGTGCTTATGAGGCACATGTGACATGCAAGTTTAGTGTGCTAACAAATCTTAGACATGGCTTTTCCTAGCGGGGGTTTGGCTTTATAGAAAAAGTGATGCTGGAGTTTCAAGGGGTCACTAATTGGGCAGCAATTGATGAACCAGTAGAGCTGCCTCCAGTCCTACTTGCCTCAGATAACTGACTGTTCCAGAAGCTAGAGCACTGGGAGGTGATTGAGTAGGTAGGGACATAAAGGCTGCCCTGTTCACGTTGACATGCAGTCAAGAACCTGGAGGGCCATGGAGTTCATTTCTTCACTCAGGGAATACTTATTGAACAATTGCCATATGCCAGGCATGGGGGTACAGTGGTCAACAAAAATAGGAATGGTCCCTCATGGAGCTTACAGTCTATGGGGGAGGAGGAGCAAATATACTTTTGCTTGTGTGATTATTCAATTAAGGATTATAAACTAATCAATAATTGAGGAAAAAGTCTGCAGGGCAGGACAATAACAATATATTATACCTGGAGGACTCCATCTCAGAAATGGGTGGTATTATGAGTTGAAATGTGTTCCTTCTCCCAAACTTATATGTTGAAGTTCTAACCCCTAGTACCTCAGAATGTGACCTTATTGGGTAATAGGGTCCTTGCAGGTAAAATTAGTTAATATTAGGTTATACTATAATAGGTTAGACCTTTAATTCATTATGTTGGTGTCCTCCTAAAAAGAGGAAATTTAAAGGAGTACCATGTGAAGATAAAGGTGGACATTGGAGTGATGTTTCACAAGAAAAGGAATGCCAAAGACCTCCAGCAAATCCCCAGAAGCTAAAAGAAAGGCATGGAGCAGATTCTCTCTCCCAGTTCTCAGAAGAAACCTACCCTGCCAACACTTCGATTTCATAGCTTCCAGGACTGTGACAAAGTACATTTCTGTTATTTTAAGTCACACAATTTTTTATACTTCATGATTTGTAGCCCTACAAAAATAATACAAGAGGGAGAAGGGTAAGGAGACAGTCCACGAAAGTTTGCTGAAGAAGTAATTTTTCACCAGAAGTTGGAAGTATTAAGGGGACTAAGATTAGGAGAGTGCATGAGCTATTGAAGGAATTGCAAGAAGTCAGTTAGCTGCAGTTCAGAGTGAAAGGAAGAGCAGCTCAAATGAGGCTGGAGAGGAAGGCAGCTTACACCGGGCCTAATGGGATAGTATCAGATGTTGGTTTTCTTAAGATGATGGGCAGTCATTGACACATTTTAAGCAAAGTAGTGACATGATTACTACATTTGTTTTTAAAAATGATCACTGTAACTGCAGTGTGGAAACTAAAGAGAGTAGTGAGGGGGCTGTGGCTAGTGGAAGGACACTGATGGACTCTACAAATATTTAAAATGGACCAAACAGGATTCATGATGGCTGGTGAGGGAGAGTGAAGTATTCAGATGATATTCAGATACAAGGTACAGATAGTGTTATCGGTCACTGAGATGGGGAATTCTAGAGGAGGACCAGGTTTAGGTGGAATATAGCAGGAAAATACAAATTCGGTTTAGAACAGGTTGTGTTTGAGAAGCCTTTGAGACATATCTATGTAGCTGTTAAGTAGATTAGATATACAGGCAAGGAGCTCAGAGGACAGGTCTGTGCTGGGTAAAGCAAAACTGAAGCCATAGTCATGAGAGAGTCAAGTGCCAAGGAGTCCAACACCGAGAGACTAGTGTGTGAAGATGAAATGGCCAAGGAGAAAGAAGTGATGGCTCAGGAAGCAGGAGGAAACCAGGATGCCATGGGCTGAGCACTATTCCCTTAGTCCAACATGAAAGGCAACTCTAACATCTTTTGAAATTATGTTTCATTGTAGTCTGATTTGTTGCATTATCAAGGCATAGTCCTGGAAGCCAGTGTAGCTTTCAAGGGTGAAAAGAGACAGAGTGAGTCACAGGAAATGGATGCTGAGCATCCAGCACTCATAGTGGGAGAGTGACATGTGCCTCCTGCTACTTTCCCTTGGGACCATTTCTGGTCCCTGGGCTGGGTCTGGGCTGTTCTCAGGAGGGCAGCCAGCATTTCTTTCTGCTAAAGCAGCCTAATGTAAGGAAGTAGTTTTTTTGTTTTGTTTGTTTTTAACATAGTGACTTAGCAAGTGACTTATCATGAGGGGTGGTCAATACTAGTATGAGAGAAGTTTGTGTCTCTTCTCTGCTGAACATAAAGATGCAGGACTAATGGGACCTGCTGGCAGAGGAAACAGCAGCTGGTCAAGTCAGAACCCTCAGGTGAACGGAGTAGAAAAGGAAGGGGAATGGAGACCAAGAGTCAAGAGATATCCAGGCAAATGAGAGAGAGAATCAGCAATAACTATGGAGCTTGGGGGGGGGGGGTGAGGAAAGAACAGGAAGTGTTTATTTTATCCCCTGGCATGGTTCAGGATTTGGGTCTGTCTGGTGATTAGGCCCAAATGGCTTTGCAGCTGCTATTGTACATCATGTTCAGGGTCATAACATGTCATCTCATTTAATTGCCACGAGAACCCTGTGGATGATGATGATGGTTCCCCATTTCAGAGAGGTTAGTGACATGTCCAAAGTTGCATAGCTATGGTAGTAATTGGCAACTCCAGGATTCAAACTCAGGTCTGTCCAGTTCCAAACTTCATGCTTTTTTCTTTCACTACTTGTTCCTAAAACTGATTTATCACTAGAAACTCAGGGAATTAAAAGAAAAATGTCCTGCTGAAATCGGTTTGGCTCAATGATAGAGTGTCAGCCTGTGGACTGAAAGGTCCCTGGTTCGATTCCAGTCAAGGGCATGCACCTTGGTTGCGGGCATATCCCCAGTACGGGGTGTGCAAGAGGCAGCTGATCGATGATTCTCATCGATGTTTCTAACTCTCTGTTCCTCTCTCTTTCTCTCTGTAAAAGATCAATAAAATATATTTTAAAAAAGAAAAGAAAAGAAAAATGTCCTGAGCAATTCATTGGGGATTAAGATTCAACAGGTCTGGGAGAATCCAAGATGGCTGCTCAGGTAGGCACCTAGCCGCAGCCGCACGCAACAATTTCAATAAAATACAACTAAAATATAAAATGGACATCACCCAGAACTACAGGAAAGTCGACTGACTGGAAATTCTACAACAAGAAGCAAGAGAAAACCAGAAGGAAGCGCGGAGGAGCTGGAAAAGCCTAAGGTACGGAGACACGCGGCACGGAGAGGACGGAGCTGGAGACGAGGGAGGCGGAGTGTCTGGCGGGCATTCCCTGGCGGGAAGGAGATAAAACTCCGACTGTGCTGGGCCCCATTCCGACTGCTCTGAACACCAGGCCTAGGCCAGTCCCCGGGGACCCAGGCTCACACAGAGGGAGCTGGGCTGAAAGGCGGAACCCGGGGAAGCCGCGAAAGGGGGTCCCGGCGGCGCCACGCAGAGAAGGGACGGCCGGCTGTGCCGTGGGATTGCCTGGCGGGAAGGAGACAGGGGCCCCGGACTGCTCTGAACGCCACCTCCAACTCCACTTCCAACTGAACTGAACCCCAGTTTCGGGGCTATTGGGGGAGAGACTAGACTGGTTGGTAGCAGGCGATCGAGGGCGCCTTTCTTTCAGAGGCGCTTGCAAGGAGCACTGAAGGACCCTGAGACTCAGGAGCCGCATAGGGCGGGGCTGACGGAAGCCAAAGCTGTAGGCTCCACCCTGAAACCCCGCCCCATCAGGAAAGCTGCCTGCGAAAATGCCTAAACCAAATAGATCACAAACGAAAGAAATGGAGGACAAAAAGCGACTGGATATAGAGTTCAAAACCACACTTATAAGGTTTTTTAAGAGTTTCCTAGAAAAGGCCGATAAAATAAATGAGACTTATGAGGATATGAAAAGGGATCAACAAGAAATAAAGAATACATTGTCTGAAATAAAAACTATTATACAGAGTCCTAAAAACAGAATAGAAGATCACAAGAATCAAGTCAAAGATTTGGAACATAAAGAGCCAGAAGACACTCCTCTGCAGAAGCTAGAAGGCAAGAGAATCCAGAAAATTGAAGATGATGTAAGAAACCTCTGGGACAACTTCAAACGATCCAACATCAGAATTATGGGGGTCCCAGAAGATAAGAGAGAGCAAGATATCGAAAACATACTGAAAGAAATAGTGACAGAAAACTTCCCCCACCTGGGGAAAGAATTGGACTTACAAGTCCAGGAAGCACACAGAACTCCAAATAAAAGGAATCCAAATAGGACCACACCAAGACAAATCATAATTAAGATTCCAAGAGCAAAAGACAAAGAGAAAATATTAAAAGCAGCAAGAGAAAAACAGGTAGTTACCTATAAAGGAGCACCTATACGATTGTCAGCTGACTTCTCAACAGAAACCATGCAGGCCAGATGGGAATGGCAAGAAATATTCAAGGTGATGAATAGTAAGAACCTACAGCCAAAGATAATCTATCCAGCAAAGCTATCACTCAGAATTGAAGGTCAGATAAAGAGCTTCACTAATAAAAAAAAGCTAAAGGAGTTCATCACCACCAAACCAGAATTATATGAATTGCTGAAAGGGGTTCTTTCAGA